ATCGTAAATTTTCGTAAGTTTACGCTCGCGTAAAAACTTGCGGAGGTTTACGCCTATTTATTTTTGCTGATGATATAATTGTTCATGTGCGAAAACGTGTAAAGGAAGATATAATTTGGCATTGGGTAATGTTTGGCCTTGAGCTTTATTAATAGTCATTGCAAAAGCCAAACTAGCAACGGGCTAAGGTAAATAGTAAAGTTGGATTTGATGGTGTTAGTCGTATTCAAGGAATATAAACTCTTTTGTCGACATAAGTTCTGGTAATAATTTTAGCATCAAGAACATGCTGATTAACATGTCTAATAACTAATCTGGTACCATTACAAAGTTCATAAACAGGACTTATATTTTTTAAAAAAATAACCAGGGCTCCAATTTTTAGTACCAGTTTATGAGGAGGAGTTCCACTTGGAGTCAGTGTATTTAAAAATTCAACAAGAAAATGATTTTGAATTTCCTCATCTTGATTGTCAACTGAATCAGCAGATAAAAAAGTGGTACCGACACCTGGTAGAATATTAAGAATTTTTTTATTAATATCATCTACATCATCATTTTTTGGTATAAGAATTGCTTAGTTACTAAGATAGGCTAAATAAGCTTCAGTAGGAATAGTATTAATATCTTTAAATAGTTTAGATATTAATGATTCAACTTTATTATCATGTATAACCATAGCATAATCTAATTTAACCATATCATCACCAATATTATCATAAGTATGTTCGGTACCATTACCAATTCTTAATAAATACTCTGCAAAATTAATTGTCTTCTCATCATTTCCTTGAATTCTCATATTTTTTGTCAATGCTAATTTATCAATTTTACTCTATAAATAAGATTTTTAAGAGAAGCATTGATAATTTAATCACAATTTCCTCAAACTACTACAGATAAAATTTGCCTAAAATCACCACCAAATAAAATTACTTTGCCTCCAAATAATTCTTTTTTGTTATTTGTAATGTCCTGAATAGCTTTGTTAAGTTTTTCAAAAGCTATTTTGTTTGTCATTGGAGCTTCATCCCAAATAATTAATTTAGCATCTCTGATTAATTGAGCCAAATCAGATTGAGCGCTAATATGGAATTCATCATCTTCAGTTAAATTTAGAGGAATCTTGAATCTTGAATGAGCGGTTGTTCCTCCAACTAATAATAAAGCAGCAATTCCAGATGAAGCAATTGCAAGAGCAATACTGAAATCTCTTCTTACTATTGCTAAAATTAAATTAAACAAAAAAGTTTTTTCACAACCTCTAGGACCATCAACAAAAAATAATTTTTTATCAATTTCCTTATTTAGAGCTTGTAAGATCCTTTCATAGATATATCTTTGCTCATCATTTAACAAATTTACTTTTGCTAAAGTTTCATCTAATTTATTATTTAAATAATTTTCGTCATTAAAAGTTGATATTGTATATTAATTTCTTCAGGAGTTAAATCTGCTAAAGTATAATCAAGTTTATCGAAATTAAAATCAACCAAGTTTTTTCTAAAATGAATTAGATATTTTTCAATATCTATTAAAGCCTTTGTTTTAAATAATTTAACTTGTTCAGAAGTTAAATCTGTAAGATCTTTTTTTATAGCTCTACAATAATCTTCAATTAATGATTGATAATTATTATCAAATAAATCTTGTGTTCTCAACTATGTTAGAATACAAAATAATAATATGGAGGCAAATAATTGTCTTAATCGAGATGGCATTCCATATAATACAGCCTCTTATCAAATTCATTATTTTCTTCATCTAAAAGGCCAAGTGCATGTATAGCATCTTCAAATTTTTCATAAATTTGACTATTAATTGTACATAAACTTTCAAAAGAGATAGCACCGGGTATTTGAGTTAATAAAATTCTCAAACGAAATCTCTCTCTATTATTTGGGCTGCATGTATATAATCTTGATATTACTTTTTCACCACCTAGTCTTCGGGTAATTCAGTTTCCACTTTCCCATTTAAAGACCTTAGAAAAATCTATATATTTTAGATTCATAATCTTTGAATTTTTCTGATTATCTTTACAAA